CTCGACAACAGCGCCACCTAGCGTTTCCGAGTTTTAGCGAGACTAACGGAGAGCAATTGATGTTTATATATAAGATTATTGAGTTGCGTCGCTGAGTTGGCCGCCGATTCGAATCCCGCATGGAACAGGTATTTGTATGGCCTACAAATAATTCTTCCGGGTCTGGATAATGGTCCTTGAGCAATTTATGTTTGTAAACTGCCTCCCCAATATAGAAGAAAATCTAAATGTACTCGGTGTGTGTGTGTGTGTGTCGGTACCCCGTACCGTCTATTTAAAAAAATATAAAAATGTTTTCGAAACAAAATATATGTATATTTTTATATACTAAAAATATACATAGTATAACATATTAAAATGGCTATATATGTATTTTATATAAATATATATTTAACTCTTGTGCAAAAAGGCTTTCTCTCATTTCCGAGATGGGTTTAGGGCAACAATATTTCGTATATAGGCTATAACTTTTATGATTGTGACGGAACAGATTTTAAATATGGATTATAGTAAGAAAATAAATTGCTAAAGTGTATATATATACTACAATTATGAAATATTTTATCTTTCGTAGACAATTTTTGTCATCGTGTTTCGGCATCTATTTTACAAATCTAATTCGACGTTGTTACGTAAAAAGGATCGAACCCTCCTAAATCTTTTCCATATCAAAGTTTATTTGGATTGGAGTTCAGTAATACAATACGTTATTTCAATTTATTTGTGTTTGTTGTTTATTTATTCCTTGTTACCGACCGTGACTTGCTACTACCTATTAATTATTTTAACTACTAACATGAAAGCACCAGTGTAAATTATTATGGTCCTAGTTATGGTTGAATCTGTTTTTCATAACTATCTCTATTAAAGAAGTGACATACATAGCTTTGAGGTAAAATTAAAAAAATGGTTTTCCATTTTTATTCCAGCACTTTACTGCCATCTCTTGATGAGTAGTAAAAAATTGAAAATGTATTAAACTAAGGTCTACTAGCGCCATCTGCTGATAAGTAGGCCATATTATGTATTACGACTCCTCATAAGCTGTATTCATTTGAAATTGTTAATTCAAGTATCATCTAATTTATACATAACCATTACCAGTCTATCCAACGAGATTAGAGATAAGTAAACAAATAGATAGAGCAAAGTTAGAAGCACAACATTTGCCAGAACATTTTAATTCATTCTAATTTACCTACAAAAAAATTTGAACAACGAAATTATAAACTGATTGTGATATAAATGTACCTAAAACGATATTAAAATTGATATTTAATTTACAAAAACTGTTAATCAAACTAGGAACAACAATATAAATGCAACTCTACACAGCATTAATTAAAGAAATAAAACAACTGTCAGATTGATTAGCTTTGTTTTACAATTTTCGAATGTACACTTTACTTCGGAATAATTTTACCTAAACTTAGTTTTCATTTTTCAATCGTGTGATAAAAGTTATCCATTAAATAAATTATGGGCTGATCGAATATAAAAGTGAAATAATTGAACTATTTCCTTCAATGCAACTGTTACGCATGTATTTCTGTTACACTGTTTTTCGAATTTGCTAATGATGTGTTTTATTCTATGAACCACTTTAGTCTTATGGTTGAAATACCTATCAGTCGGCCATGAATAAAAAATAATTAAATAAATGTAATGTATTTTTAACTGGTCTGCATGTTATATTTATTCCAAACTTTATTTGTTTATTGTATAAAAAGCAAATTAAAATACATAATTACATATTAATATTTGTACGTAAGAATCATGGAAATAGTAACATTTACAATAATAAAATTATCTTTTTTCAATAAAAATTTTGTTAAGACCTTATATGCCTTTTTATCTTTCAGCATACTTAAAATGCACATACAACATGTATGTTTGTTCAGAACACCAAATATTTATCACGAGGGTTTTCATTCATTTAAAATTTCCCAAAATATTTACCAAATCGCACAGTAAGAAGAAATACTTAATATTAGAAGGTTCTTTTACGGTGTTTAAAGTTAAATTTAAAATCTATAAATATATTTAGCGTAACGAACAACTACTGTTATTTTAAATACAATATTTAATTTAACTAAGCTTTGTAATTTGATAAAAATACTAGATGAGGAAATGATTAAGTCATCTAGTGTTTTTATCTTATTAAAAGGTAAAGTTATATTAAATATTGTATCTCCGCTATCTTAGTATAATCCAACTATATACTCTATATGTAAACAAAGTTCTTTTGAAAAATTAAGGTTCTGTAAACCTAACAGCATTAATGATGACTACGAACTTTCATATTTTCTTTTTTACTTATTTTCAATCGTTAATTTTGTATCGTCTCTCTGTCTGTCTAAAATTGTTTTTATAATTAGTAAACTGCTACAAAAATTTATATATTTTATCTACAATATATATTGTACAATAGAATATCTAAAAATGTTTGGTATGCTTTGTACTTATATATTTTCTCCTTATTCTTTCCTTCATGTATTGTTTTAGTGTACAATAAAGAGCTATCATCTACCTGTCTATGCTCATTTGACAATGATTACAATATTGAGTAATATATATATATATATATATATATATATATATATATATATATATATATATATATGTATATGTGTATATGTATATACACAATGTATGTCTTAAAGCATCATAAGTAATTAAACATAAGAATAATGTATAATGTATGTATATTTGCAGCAAATATTTTAGTGACGAAACATCTTAAATATACTTACTTTATTTTTATAGATATTACATCAAATTTATATTTCCTGGAAAACAAACTTTCTGTAATTTCTGGATCTGGACTATTTTCTAAAAAAAGGTTGTACACTATACTTTAATACTTAATAAAGAAAAGAAGCTATAAGTGAGATTATTTAGTTCTAATTTAGAATTTATTAAAACACGCGCATTGCTTAAAACTGTAATAAAAAAACTGTAATAAAAAATATTATATATAAAAACATAATTAAGTTATATTGACAGACAAAATGAAGTCGCTTAATTTTGAATCTAAGTACAAACTTCTGGCATTTAAATTTAATCCAATATTATCAGAAACCTTTGTTTTTCTTTTTTAAATATTACACGTGTATTTTATGAGATTTGTAAAATTACGTTCAAAAATTAATTTTATACTTTTCTTTTACCAGCCGATGTGAAACAAACTGACAGTCCACTTGAACGTAAGTAGCTACTGCAGGTCGTGGTCATCTTCAGGAAGTTCACACAGAGAAGGCCACTGATGTGTTATCACCTCGCAGCCTGTATTATGCTGGCTTTTTATACCCTTCAGAGCAAACACAGCAGTGTAAGTACTGCTGTTTGACATCAGAAACAGGTAGATGGTGACCCATTACATTAGTTTTATGGAAATCACATCAAGGTATAATTTTCCGGAGAACAAAATTTAATATTATTAAATAGCATTTCCAAACCCTTGTTGTACATTATATTTTAATATTTTTTATATAAAATAAGTTATTAGCAAAATCAAACAGTTCTGAATTAAAAATTATGAAAACACTCTCAATGGTAAATTGTGTTTATTTAAAAATATAACATATAAAAGCATAATGTAATTAATTACTCATACACAAAAGGAAATCATTTTTAGTGAATTTAAGTGCAAAATAGTTTCCAATATCATTTACAAAACTTTTAAGATAATTAGTTCTTTTAAATAACTGCATCTACTTATGTATTTATGTAGATTTACATTACTACAGAGATATTCATAATTTTGAATTATAAATTTATGTAAGACTATATGACACGTGGTAAGTTTGTAGCAAGTTATACTAAATTAGTTATTTATTATTAAAAATGTTTAAATCTATATAATGAATGAAATACGCTAGTCCGTAGGGTATAAATAACTGCATAATTATACCACAATTTTCAACACAAAACTGTGTTTTAATATCAATAGGATTAAAATACAATTCCAAGCAAAAATACAATTCGTTAAACAATGTTATACAATTTAATAGGTTGAGTTTGCGATCTTATATGCGTAAGGTGCTAACTGCAGAATACGTGTTTCTAATTATTCATAAAGTCGATGACATCAGAACGAAGATGAATAATAAGATCTAAACACTGATGCAAGCAACATCATTGGAAGAGAAGAGTTGTAAAGCATGCGCAGTTACGCACAGCGTAAGTATCGATTACATTTGTATATAAATATATGTTATTAGTTATTTTAATATAACACATACTAGAATTATCCAAACAATTATTTTTGTTCTTAATTTATTTGTGCGTTTTCTGATCTATGATAGCTTTGAAAGTTATTAAGTGTTAAGACTACTACAATTTTTTTTATTTATTTTACACCGGACTGTTTAATGACAGACGTTAATGACTTAGGTTATATTCTATCAATATATACTGCGGATTTTATCATAAATAAGTATTATAAGTGGTCTATAAGTAGTCTTATAGATAGAAAACATTTAACAACGTGTTCATCACGTTCGGCAAGTGTATTAATGAAATAATCCCCAAGTGATGAATACCTCTTTCATTGACCGGACTGAGTATTTTAGGTTTGACATACAGGGGCGAATTAACATAAGCGCCTATGAGTTTATTGATATATTGATGTTGGGAGTTGCAAAAAAGGGGAGGAGCCGGACCTTCGCATTTCCTTAGCTCTCAAAGCTCTAGTCTCTTACGTGCTTTAACCAGACTCCACTGACATATTTGCAATAAATACTACTTTTAAAAGATAAGGAAAATACGAATTTTGTTAGAGAAATTCCTTAAGTCTAAATGCAGAAAAGAGACCAAGAAAAAACATTAACAGTTTTAAAGCATATTTAATGTTATCACCAGACATGCAGATATTTGTAGAAGTAGCAACGCATCCAATAATCAATAACGAATGTTGGAGGCGAAGCAAGTAACTTCAAACTTCCATAGTCCACTTCTCTTCAAGGGATCGTAGCATTGCATGCACCACACAAACCTCTCTAGAACCGAATTTGTCGCCTCACTTCAAACAAATTCGGATCTACAGGGTAGATGTAGGGCACTAATATTGATGCCGTTGGCACCAACGTTATAAGGCCTCTTCTTTCTTGATAATACCTGAAAGTAAGTACAGTCAAAATTAATGTTACGATGTAAGAAACAATGCCTATACTTCGTTAAAAAGTAGCACATATCAAACAAAATATAACATGTACACGATATTGCTCTTGGATAATTTAACTGTTAAAACTACGATATAATTAGTCCTAAAATTTTAAGCAGCTAGTACATACACATAGTAAATAGTAGTATAAAAGTACATCAACAGTTTGTAAATTATTTTTAAGTAAATTGTTTGTAAGTTATAATTTTATTAACTGTAATGTTTTTATCGACTACTATGAATATATATATTATTTCATTTCAATATTGTCACTTATCAGTAAGCTATATACGAAAACCTAATGAGGCCTATATATAAGTCTATAACAGGTAAATAATTAATTTTATTGTATGTTTATTAATTAAACGATTTAGAGTTGAAAAGATTTGGATAATAATTAATTCATTAATTATAAATTAAGGCCTTAAATTAAAATAACTTCTTTTCAATATGAAGCAGCTTGACGTAGCCGAAGAATCACGACATCTGAAATTAAAGAAAACAATTCTTTAAAATTTGTCCAACCAGTTATGAATGTGTTCGCCTATTTTTAAAACGTATTGTCAAAATACGTATCCATCACAATTCATAGCAGTGATGTCAACGCGCAGAGATATTTTTATCGATTACAGTAAAATTACCGCGCACTACACGCTTGTTACACACACAACGAATTCATTTCAGCTTTTAACAGACACCAGTAGTTTTCTATCGTAATCAATCACCGTAATAACGGTATGCTATCAAATGTGTCTGTTAAAATAAACACCTGACACAAGTAAGGACGTTCATGTTTGAACAACAGTAACATGCCGTGTAATAGTGGAATCGTGAACAAATTAACGTGACGGGCCTAGAAAATGGCAGGTGCTCTTAAATATTTCGATGTTTTATTGCGTAAGCCAACAACGGAAGGAAATGGCACATAAATGTAAGCACGAATGCCTTTAAGAAGTAGCCTGCTTATCAAAATTCAAACTGCGTCTAACAGACACGCATTAAATGTTGCGTCTCATCATCACATATCACTATCGTGCTATTTATGTCATCATAGATCAGTATTAAATTCTGAGCTTTATATTTTATAATTTATACAAATTCACTTACACGTTTTAGTAAAGTATTGATCACGGATAATCATAAAGTCAGTTTATTGCATGTTGGTTGAGTTTTTGAATACATGTCGCGTCACTGAGTCTGATCGGACTGCTACTTGGCTCTTTGATTCGCCAACCTTGGCGTAACGAGGCCGTCATCCGCTCGGCGGCGGAGCGTCGCGACGTCGCAACTGGGTCAGAGGACGCGCAGGCGCTCTCCGGACACGAGCAATGAGTGCCGCCCCTGCCCTGGGATCGAATGAATGGTAGACCCCCCACTTTCATATCGACCGATTTAATCTGAGACCCCCTTCTCATGCCTGCCTACCCTAATACATATATACCCGTGAAAGCTCCAAAGCTCTTTTATACCTGGACGTGATTTAAGCAGATGTAAGGTAAATAGGTTTAACTTTCGATCCACCAGTTGCTAAACTGATTCTATAATATTAGGTTAGATCTATTGCCGTCAGCGTAGATATTTTCATTAGTTATAGTTAACAGCTACCAATCATTACAATGGCGCCGCCTACTGTAAGAAGATCTAGGAAATGTTCAATTTGTTTACCCTATTAAACGTTGGTTTACTTGTTATGCAATTGAACTAAAACTAGGGTTTTAAATAATATTGTAACGGATAAAAGTAAACACTTTGTGCAATCGTTGATAATCACAAATATATCAGTATTATTTAAATATTTTGGTAATTAAAATGGTTTTAAGTATAAAAATATTGAAAAAAGACTAATGAATGTACAGAAATATTTTTAAGAATATACAAAGTAGTGAAATCCTATTCATATAAGGATAAGTAACGTGCAATATGAAATTACTATCAGAGAATCTACTGACAGAGTAGATTTACGAATTATCATAACATTTTGTCCACAATATTAGTTTTACGGTTAGCGTAAAATAATAAATCTAATCTGTCTATAATTTATTTACATGAAATTGGGCAGTCAGGTTTATGTATATGGTAACATTACACATTGGTATAAAAAGATTGACAGTTTTGTGTCAGTGATCACTTGTAAGGTCTTGACAAGAAGAACTGAATGTGAGAGTTACATTATTTAGCCTTAAGAAAAAAAATATAAGTGAACACTGATATTTATTATTACAAAAAAGTAATAGTTTAATGAACTATTGAGCAATAATGATAATACATTAAGCAAAACTAAGCAATGTAATCCGAATCAAGAACTGCCATTTAAATAAATCGAAGTTTAAAATAAATAAGTAATGCTAATATTAAGTACTAAACTTACCCAAAAAATCAGTAACCGTTTAGTTACAGATACGTTTGAATAGCTCGTAATTAATAAAGTGACAGTAAAATTCAATACACAACGAATCTAAAACCATTATCCATTACAAAGTCAAAGAAGCTTCATATAAAAACTTAAGCAGGAATGTGATGTGTTCACAACGAGAGACGATCTTACTCTGATAGCTCCCGCACGGTGTATCGCCTGTAACTATTGATGATGAAAACTGTTAGCAGGCCACTAATTGTACGGCAGCCTACATAGGCGGCGGTAATTGCTCCATTTACACGTTTTGTTAGTTCGCTGAGCATAATTGTTGCCTGTTTATACGAGAGATATGAATGTACAAACCACGAGTTGAATATAATATTAGGAAATTACAATTCTGACAATATCGAACTGTATCAACTTTTTATTAATGACTGCACAAAACAGCTTATTAGTTTAGTTAATGTTAATAACATTTTTGTGTACCTGATAGGCTTTTGATGGACTCTCATTGAATGGAAAATAAATAGCTGTCACGACGTTGTCCTAAAAATATTTTGACGGGGAAAGTTCTACTAACATAGTTTGAGACTAACTGATTAAAATATTAAAATGAAAAATAATTTCCTTTTTTATTAAATCTTTAAGACATTAATATAACTGGAATCATTGCTTAACTTAATTTTTACGTTGTGCTAAAAATATTGTGTTATTACAGTCGTTTATAATTCTGATATGGAATATGTGGGAATGGAAAATGTGATTACGTGATCAGCTATGAAATCCTAAGCTCTGACTGCTTGTTATTAAATGATAACATTAAATTTGTTATTCACAAAAATATGTAATAAAATAAATGTCATCAGATGCGCAGATATCAAAATGCTCGGTATATTTTAAAATCTAAGTATATCAGAGCATTTAAAAAAGTAAAGTTACAGCCTATATATGTCGCACTGCTGGGCACAGGCCTCCCCTCATTTCTGAGAGGGTTTTCCCACCTCTCACCCTCTCAGAGCATTTTAACTTAACAATAAATATAAAATTGTTATAAAGCCAGTGCTGGACTTCAGTAAGTTAAAGAATATGGTAAAGTAATGAAAGGAACGCTAATTGAAACCATAATGAAAATGCCTAAACATTTTAAAGCTTTTCAAAACAAAACGCTAACAAAACTGACCTAGAAAGTAGTTGTAGCAAACAATTATCATAACACCTTTGTTAAGTAGACTAATTCTGAAAACATAGAATCTATTGTGCTTGTGTTTTTGTGTTTATTGGGGCTATTTAAAATGCTTGAACATTAAATTATTACAAAGCAAGAACAAAATCTTCATTTTAAACAACGTAGGTATACTTAATTTATAGGAATACAAATATTTATATAAGTTGCAAATTTATGAAAATAGTATTTTTAATGAAAATATTTTTTAATTATTTTCATTTTTTGTGGGAGAATTAAAATAACATTTTCAACAGATATTATTTTAGAGTGCGTGTTAGAAGAAATCGTTTTTTTTTTTTAAATGATATTCGTTTTAAATAATGTTTTAGTAAGTTTGCAATCATTAACTGTTTGATTTCATCAAAATATACTTACATGAAATTGGCGAAGGTATAATCATTCCATGTAGCTGGATCAGGCAACAAAACAGGCGGAGTCTGAAATGAATATAATACATACCTATTATATAAAAATATTTGATAATGTTTTAGTTCATCTAGAAAAAAGCTTGGATATTAAAAGCTCCTAGATACGAAAACCAACCTTCAAGCCTTCAACCTTGTTCATCTTGCTCGATACGCGCCAAACTGGCGTTGACATGACATGACAGTCCCGCCAAACATGGCGTCCATTCGTGCGGGAAGCGGAAATACACGAATTACAACGAGTCAAAAAAGGATGGATAGATGGATGAATGCATGTGCAAAAACGAGACCGCCGGCAGGTCCTTGTTATTCCACAGCTTAGAAAGAGATAACGATATGGAATTTGACAGGCGGGTGAAAGGATAGGAATCTCGTTTAAACGGTTTTTAGGGTGGAGTTGTCTGGACTTTCTGATCGGCGCGGCGCGCAGATGGCAACAAAAAGGGACCAGTCCCGACTAAATTTTGGGAATAAATTGAACGGCATTTTTGCCACATTGCTACGCTGCCCTCTTCACAGTGCAAGGACAGTGGACACGCATTTTTGTTTTTACTTTATCTGATATTCTTTACGTGAATTACTCTTATTTTTCAAAATTACAAGTTTTAAGTTGAAAGAATTTAATATTTATTGTTTATATAAATAATTAAATGATGCTATAAATAATGCGATGACAATTTTGTTCTAGCAAAACGTGTATTCATTACGAAATTACTCATATTCAAGTCACGAGGTCACTGACTCAGGATTTATTGTGCGCTTCCTGCGTTTTATTAAACTTCACATTTTAGACAAATGCTAGAATATTAGGTACCTATCATTGTTTCATACCCCTTTTGAGTTTGAATTATGTTTTATTTTATTGTAATACATTTTAATTTTTGAGGCCACTTCCCCTATTTATAAATTAAATTATTGTAGTATTTAAGTATATAATATTTCAGTTTCGTCTACTTTTTTTGCGTAAGTACATTTAGAGCCCGTTAAAAAGGTGTGTGTTTTTGACGTACTTTGTACCTTATAGACCGAAATAATTTTCAGAAGTCACCAATTTGATAAACACAAAATTTTCATGAATATTGTAGGAATCACTTGATAATTCACCGATATAAGTAAGTAATTCGAATAACAAATAAACCTACTAGATGATTTTTTTACCGTCTGGAAAAAATAGGGTTTAACGGGTGAACGGAATTTTTTGAATACCTGCGTAAAATAGTAGCTTAATGCTGCTGTGTTTCGTATCGTGAGAGTAGAGCACCGGAGACTCTTTTTACTGGAAATGAGGCATCCCATCTTAGTCTTCACGGGTGCCAACGCATCTGCATTTTGATTTGTAATCGAGGATAGATGTAGATGTCTATGGGCCGCAGCAACCACTTACCATCAGGTGGACTGTGTGCTACTTTGTCACCCTAGCCTATAAAAAATCCTTTATTTCAATTTAGTAGTATTTATTGATAGATAAATTTCATAATATGTTAATGTAAAAGAAAAATAAAATGTAAAATATTAGTGAAATAGGCTTCTATTCCGTTCACCTGTTACCAAAGATTTAAAAATCTTTGCCTGTTACATCCTATACTTTTCCAGGCGGTAAAAAAATCACCAGTATATGTATTTGTATGTTAGAGTACCTACTCTTTTACATTTTAAAATTAATCAAAAATGATCAACGTTCCAAACAAGACCCCGCCTAGAATACAGAGTCATTTTCAGTTCATGCGCTACAATATATTTTAAAAAAATATCCCATCCATATTCTGGTGCATGGCGATGGGTGACGAGTATAGAGAGATAGACCTACACCGGTTACCTACAAGAAATAGATAACAGTTGGCGCATTTTTGAAAGGGCATATATGTACTACCTACTAGGACTATAATAATTATGAGAAGGGTTGTAACAATTCATTTTGTTATACGTGGTAGAGCCACGCTACATTATTCAGCTACATTATGGTTGTAGCACGAATGAGACGGCTTGACCGGGGAAGGACCACGCTTTCACAGAATACCAGCATAAAACAGCAGCTTAATGCTGCTGTGTTTCGTATGGTGAGTGTAGAGAACCGGATACTCGTTTCACTGGAATCGAGGCATTCCATCATAGTCCTCAGGGGTGACAACGCATCTGCATTTAGATTCTTAATCGGGGTTAGATGTGGATGTCTATGGGCTACAGCATCACAGATGGACTGTGTGCTCGTTTGTCACCCTTATTCTATACTTTTTTTAAAAATCTTTTTTTAATCGAGTTAACACTAATATGCTCATATAATAAATCCAGCCAGTTGTTACTATTTGGTTAGTTAACCTTATGATTTAACTAACAAAACGTAGCTGTTTTGGTATGGTGTAGTGGTTATATTAAATTCACATTATTTGAAATGACATTTTAAATTAAAAAATACTTCTAATCTTTAAACTACCTATTATTACAAGCTCTGCAGTCATTAAGATGAATTCAAGATAAACGGTAATATATTTAACCTTATTAACGCTTTAAATTTGTATTATAATAAGGTTTCTGCCAGATAAGAGATTAAGGCGGCGGAAGCCACGGTATCAGATGTTTGCATGCACCTTATAACTTCATATCAATGTAGATTAAAGCTGTATATTGTTTGTTTCGGTGAACAGGTAGCAGCTGATAAAACTTTGTTTAACTAAGATATCTGAAATTAGCGTCTGAAAGAATTATAACCAAATTAACTTGGCTTAGAGCAAAGTACCCGGTCGAAGTACAATAATAAAGTCATAAGTATGGAGTGTAGAGGTAAAGAGTACCGACTCTGTATAAAAAAAGTGTCCGTAGGAAAGCGCTAAATAAGGGTAGCGCCACTGTAGCTACAGTCTTAATTTTAAAGAACTTTTTATAATTTTTTTATTGCACAGACTTTGATCATAATTATTTTTACAATAAATATTTTATTGTTTTCAAAATTTTTATTTTCAAAATCAGTCTCAACGTATTTTACGGCGATTTATTGAACTAGCGAGCCGAGTTTTTGAACTGTTATTTCCTGCTTACGGATGGACACATTTTCAATCTTCCTATGGGAAGATTGTCCTCCTTACCTCTATACTCCATGGTCATAAGGTTGTTAAATTATAATAAAAACAGAAAGCTCTTTTAAAACAGCTGAAAGAACATTATTTCGATCAAGGTAGCAATGACTTAACGACTACATTTAGTTTAATATGACTGAATTTTTAGGCATGTATAGGCGTTCTAAGAATGTTCACTACCCCATAGCATCTCATGGGAATCATAAGGACGACTGAGGGAAACAGATTAGGAGTTGGTAGCAGGTTCGTAATAATAAAAAAAATTAAAACTGCTGTTAACTCGGCTGTCAAGCATGGCAACTATGGCAACCCCTGTATGAGACAGTTTATGAGAAAGCGGCTCGACCGATACGGCAGAATTTTTGTGTGTGATTGATTGGGTTGCTGGATGGTGTAGATTTACAATTGAAACCGGTAGATAGCGCTGTTGTCGAGATCCAAAAATCACTGCGGCAGATCGCTAGTACTACTAGTAAATACTACTAGTAAATAATAGTATTTATTCTGCTTCATTTGATGACTTAAAAGACTGGCGAAAGTAGAGCTAAACAACTCAAGAATTAAAATTAAGAGATTGTAACCAGTTTCACTCTTCATAGACGTAAAATTATTTATCAATTTAAGGCAAAAAAGCTTACTTACGTAATGACCGAAAAACTAAAGTATTGATTTATATACAATGTTTACGAGCTTTCGAATTTAAAAGACACTAAAATACTGTCGTTTAATAAAAAGTAGCTAGGTATTAAATGTAATATGACTTAGTCATGCAATTGAAACACAAATTTTGATTTCAGAGTAAACTTTCAAAGGGAATATTTAATGATTAACATAAATTTAATATCTTCTTCTTAACGATTTTCATCCTTATTTTCAGTTCAGTTTTTATTCTGCAGAATTTGTATTGCAGGTTTAATATTTTCAGTCAATTTACTAAGAAAAGTAACTAAGGCTTTAATATTATCTTTGCTTGCTTTGTTTTTGTAATCCGGCGATGGCTTGGTTTACAGGAACGTAAAAAGGCCAAATGCGAATGACCACTGTACTTTTGGTGGTAAGGGATCACAGCCGTTCATAAACATCAGAGCATCGTAGATGCGTTGCGTCTTACTGGTCCGATTAAACAGCTGACAACAGGAAATTCCACGAAATAGTCGTACGTCGGAGAAGTTTTAGAAAAAAGCACAATGGTGAACACCCAACCAAACATCAAGTTGATTTGTACGGAATTTAGAATTGTTTCAAATGGTAAAACGTTGACCGTAACATTCCCAGTGTTGAAGGTAGGTACTAGAATTTGCAAAAAAATGCAACTTTTCTTCGCAAGGTCAAGGGGTCAAGTCAAACAGAAAGAACTTGCCCGGCAAATTTCATGAACGCACATCGCGTCAAAATTCAAGATACCATCTAACATCAATGGTGTTCCACCACTGTGCGTTTTACGAGGAGTTTTCTTATTCGTACATTTTCACTGTGGAATTTTTTACCACCGGCGATTTTCCCGGACCGATACGACTTACGAACCTTCAAGAAAAGAGCTTACTCCTTTTTAAAAGGCCGGCACCTGCAATGCCTCTGGTGTTGCAGTTGTACATGGGCGCCGATAGTCACTTACCATCAGGTGAGCCGCATGCTCGTTTGCCCCTTCTTCTATAAAAAAAACTTCTATAGGGACGGTGGTAACAAAAGGAAAGCCTTTTAAGGCTTTCCTTTTGTTGGATGATGATGATTGTTGGATGAGATACGACAAAAGGTGTTTAAGCGTTTATAAACGCAAAAACGCAAACCTTCGTTTTCTAAGTACTCGGATCCTGTTAGGATTGATCATTGCAGTTGGTTGGCAAGTGCCCAGGGGTTGCTGTACCTCATAAACATGATGTGTGCTCTATGTTTGTAACTTCAGTTTTATACAAAAGAATGTATCGATTCAAGATGTTTTACTTTAGACGTTAGGTTTGTTTCAGCATAAGCCTATGTGTCCCTGAAAAAAATTGGCACAGACTGTGAATAAGGGATAACCAGTACTACATAACGATGAACATACGTCGTCCTATGCAAATTCAGCTTCCATGAATCATCGATTACGATCTTTATTTTTCGAACT